GACCGGTATAAACTTAGAAAAACAGGGATAAATATTAAGGTAACCACAAAGGAAACAAACAATCCTACAAGTCAAAATAAAAAACTAGAAAAATATAAAGACTCAGCAAACACAAAATCAACAACAATGAAAAAGATGTAAAGAAAATACATAAAGAAAAATGACTCAGCACAGAAAATTAAGTGGAACAAAGAAACTGTGAACAACACACAAGAAAACTACAAGACACTACTGCAAAAAACAAAAAAACACCTGCATAAGTGGAAAAACATACCTTGCTCATGGACAGAAGATTCAACATTGTGAAAATGTCAATTCTACCCAAAGCCATCTACAGATACAACGCAATCCCGATCCAAATTTCAACGGCATTTTTTAATGAGATGGAGAAACAAATCACCAACTTTATATGGAAAGGAAAAGGCCCCGGACAGGTAAAGCATTACTGAAGAAGAACAAAGTGGGAGACCTCACATTACCTGATTTTAGAATCTATTATACCGCCATGGTAGGTAAAACAGCCTGGTACTGGTACAATAATAGATATATAGACCAATGGAATAGAATTGAGAATCCAGACATAAATTCTTCCACCTATGAGCAGCTGGTATTTGACAAAGGCCCAAAGTCCGTTAATTGGAGAAAAGACAGTCTCTTTAACAAATGGTGCTGGCATAACTGGATATTCATCTGCAAAAAACTGAAACAACACCCATACCTCACACCATGCACAAAAACTAACTCAGAATGGATCAAAGACATAAATATAAATTTGAAAACAATAAAGATCATGGAAGAAAAAGTAGGGACAATGCTAGGAGCCCTAACACATAGCATAAACACAATACAAAACATTACTAACAATGCACAAACACAAGTAGAGAAACTAGATAACTGGGAGCTCCTAAAACTCAAACACTTATGCTCCTCAAAAGACTTCACCAAAAGAGTCAAAAGACAATCTACAGCCTGGGAAAAAAGTTTTGGCTATAACAAATCCCATCAGCATCTAATCTCTAAAATCTACAAGACACTGTAAAACCTCAACAACAAAAAGACAAATAACCCAATTAAAAAATGGGCAAAGGATATGAACAGGCACTTTGCCAAAGAAGACATTAAGGCAGCTAACAGACACATGAAGAAACGCTCACGATCATTAGCTATTAGAGAAATGCAAATCAAAACTACAATGAGATACCATTTCACCCAAACAAGGCTAGCATTAATCCAAAAAACACAAAATAATAAATGTTGAAGAGGTTGTGGAGAGACTGGAACACTTATACACTGCTATGGGGAATATAAAATTGTACAACCACTTTGGAAATTGATTTAGCACTCTCTTAAAACGCTACAAATAGAAGTACCATACAATCCAGCAATCCTGCTCCTTGGAATATATCTAGGGATAAACGAGCCGTCACACGAATAGATCTATGAACACCCATTTTCAATGCAGCACTGTTCGCGACAGCAAAAAGATGGAAACAACCTAGGTGCTCATCAATGGACAAATGGATAAACAATTTATGGTACAGTCACACAATGGAAAACTACGCATCAATAAAGAACAATGATGAATCCATGAAACATCTTATATCATGGAGGAATCTGGAAGGCATTATGCTCAGTGAATTTAGTCAGGCGCAAAAGGGCAAATATTGTAAAAGACCACTATTACAAGAACTCAAGAAAAGGTTTAAACACAGAAGAAAACATTCTTTGACGGTTATGAGGGTGGGGAGGGAGGCAGAGGGGTATTCACTAACTAGATAGTAGACAAGAATTATCTTAGGTGAAGGGAAGGACAGCGCACACTACAGGGGAACTCAGCACAACTGGAGTAAACCAAAGCTAAGAAGTTTCCTGAATACAACCCAACACTTCGAGGGACAGAGTAGCAGGGGTGGGAGTCTGGGGACCATGCGTTCAGGGGACATCTAGGTCAACTGGCACAACACACTTTATTAAGAAAATGTTCTGCATGCTACTTTGATGAGTGAATGACTGGGATCTTAAAAGCTAGCAAGTAGCCACCTAAAATGCATCAGTTGGTCCCAACTTACCTGGAGTAAAGGAGTATGAAGAATACCAAAGACACAAGGAAAGTATTAGCCCAAGAGACAGAAAGGGCCACATAAACCAGAGACTTCCATCAGCCTGAGACCAGAACTAGATGGTGCCCAGCTACCGCCAATGACTGCCCTGACAGGGAATACAACAGAGAGTCCCTGATGAAGCAGCAGAAAAGCGGGGTGCAGAACTCAAATTGTAGTAAAAAGACCAGACTTAATAGTCTGACGGAGACTGGAGGAATCCCAGAAAGCACGGCCCCCAGACTCTCTGTCAACCCAGAACTAAAACTATTCCCGAGGCCAATTCTTCGGACAAAGATTAGACTGGAAATGGGATATAAAATGATACTCATGAAGAGTGTGCTTCTTAGCTCAAGTAGATACATGAGACTAAATAGGCAGCTCCTGTCCGAAGGTGAGATGAGAAGGCGGAGAAGGTCAGGAGCTGTTTTAATGGACATGGGAAATCAGGGGTGGAAAGGAGGAGTGTGTTATTCCAGTATAGGGAGAGCAACTAGGGTCACATAACAATGTATGTACAAATTTTTGTATGAGAAACTAACTTGAATTGTAAACTTTCACTTAAAGTACAACAATAAAATAAAAAATAAATATAAAAAAAAGAAATCAGTATTGAAGGAACAAAAGATGTAAGACATGCATAAAATAAATAGCACAATGTAAGTTCCTCATTACCAGTAATTATTTTAAATGTAAATGGATTAGCCTTACCAATTAAAAGACAGAGACTGGCAGAACAGACTTTTTTTTTTAATTATCCAATTATATACTGCTTAGAAGAGATGCACTTTAGACCAGAAGGCACAAACAGGTTAAAAGTGAAAGGATATATAAAAAGATATTATATGCAAATAGTAACCAAAAGAGAGCTAAACCAAAACCAAAAACCCCACTGCCATTGAGCTGATTCCGACTCATAACAACCCAAAAGGGTTTCCAAGACTGTAAATCTCTACAGAAGCAGACTGCCACATTTGTCTCCCACAGAGCCACTGGTGGTTTTGAACTGGCGACCTTTTGGTTAGCAGTTGATCACTTTAACAACTGTGCCACCAGCGTTCCTTAAAAGAGAGCTAGGGAGGTTATATATTCTCAGATAAAAGAAATTTTAAGTCAAAAATTATTACAAAAGATAAAAGACTATATTTTATACTCATAAAAAGGTCAGCTCATTAAGAAGATACAACAATTATAAACATACACTGACCAAACAAGAGAGCCCCAAAATATATGAAACAAACACTGGCAAAACTGAAGAAATAGACAGTTCTACAATAATAGTTGGGGACTTCAATACCAACTTTCAATAATGGATAGAACATCTAGACAGAAAATAAATAAGGAAACAGAGGACTCAAACAACACTATAAACTAGACCTGACACACAGAATATTCTACTATCACTCTAAGATAACCTTTGAACATGGATTTGAATCTATTTCAGTAGGTCGCCTTTCAGCCAAATAACAGACTGGCTTATAAAATAAACAATATCACCCGTGAGTAAGGTGCTCCTTTAAACAATTAGCTACATGAAACCAAACGGTCAACATTTATCCAAAAGCAAAGATGAGAAAGCAAGGGGAAGGGAAGCTGGATCAATGGAAAAAGAACAAACAGAGTGGAAATAATGAGAATGCTGACATATTGTAAAAATTGTAACCAATGACATGAACAATTTGATAAAAATTGTTAAAGGGCAACCTAATGTGCTGGGTAAACATTTACCTGAAACACAATAAAATATTATTTAAAAAAAAAAAAAGAACACAAAATCTCAACAGACTATAGTAAAAAGACTGACTCAGTAACCAAAAATCTCCCCAAAAAAGAAAAGGTGAGGACCAGATGGCTTCACTAGTGAATATTACCAAATACTTTAAGAAGAATAAACAATAATGCTGTTCAAACTCTTCCCAAAAAAAAAGGGAACACCTCTTAACATACTCTACAAGGCCGCACTACCCTATTACCAAAACCAGACAAAGACATTACAAGAAAAGAAAACCACAGACAAATATTTCTTATGAATATAGAAAAATAATTCTCAACAAAATACTAGCAATAATTAACAAAAACATACCATAAGTTATGGATTGAATTGTATCCCCAAAATATATGTGTTGGACTCCTAACTCCTATACCTGTGGATGTATAATCCCATTTGGGAATATGGTTTTCTTTATGTTAATGAGGTCTTATCAGTATACGGTGGGTCTTAAAGGTAATCACTTTTGAGATATAAAAAAGAACAGATTAGGCAAAGAGACAAGTGAGCACAAATGCGGGAAGACCTAACCAACCCAAATCAAACCCACTGCCATCGAGTCAATTCCAACTCATACCGACCCTATAGGACAGAGTAGACCTGCCCCATAGGGTTTCCAAGGAGTGGCTGGTGGATTCGAACTGCCGACCTTTTGGTTAGCAGCCGTAGCTCTTAACCACTACACTACCAAGGTTTCCAATGGGGGAAGACAGAACCCTATCTAATGATAAGAGGTAAATGAATCTACAAGCGCAGGAACTCCAATAATTTCCAGCTACTAGAAGCTAGACAGGAGCCCTGGTGGCACAGTGGTTAAGCGTTCGGCTGCTAACCAAAAGGTCGGCAGTTCAAATCCACCAGCAGCTCCTTGGAAACGTTATGGGGCAGTTCTACTCTGTCCTATAGGATTACTATGAGTCGGAATCGACTTGACGGCAACGGGTTTGCTTTTGGTTTTTTTTTGTTTAGAAGCTAAACAAAGAAGGACCTCCTCCTAAAGTCACACTCTGAATTTGGACTTCTAGCCTTCTACACCGTGAGAGAATAAATTTCTGTTCTTTAAAGCCATCCACTTGTGGCATTTTTGTTATAGCAGCACTAAGACTAAGATGTATTTTAAATATGTTACTTACTGTGGTGTGATGGGATATATTGCTGACAATGTTGAGGTTTTTGAGCAACTGGGGAGAACCACTATATTGTCCAGAGATCTGCTTCCTAACTTCAGCTGCCACAGTTCTATAACAAAGAAAGCAAATGCATTATTTAAATTTTAAAAAAAAAGCTGTAAAAAGTTAAAAAAAATAAAACTAGTTTAAATGGGAGAAGCTAAGTATACTAAAGTTTCATTCAAAGAACAATAAAATCTCAGCACAGCAACTAAAGCGATGAACTAATAAAATATTTTATTATATACTTTTCTAAGTTTATAATTACAGAACATCTTTATAATCCTGATGTATAGTACAAGAGTGACAACCAACTTACATTTGTTTTTTTTTTTTTTTGAACATGGCTTTTCAGAGAACATACTTTGGCCTATAATAGAGCTGGAAACTATAACAAGATGTATATATTAAAATTTATATATTTTAAAGACATAAAATTACTTCTAAAATACTTTATAAACAGATAAACATGACAGTAATTAGGAAGAAATAATTCTTTTTTTCCTTTTTAATATTACAAGTTCCTCATTCATGATCTAGAAAACTATTCCTTACTTTTACTCAACTAATAAAAAGTGTCATTTTACTCTGACATTAATGGCTTTCCATTATCTGATCCTATTCTACCTTTCCAGTCTTAAATGTCCTTTTCCAAATTCCTGTCAATGAACTGTAAATGGCTTCCTAAAATGCTATTTCTTTCCCACGTCCACCAATCCAGGTCTTAACTAGTTTTAACGGTAAAATTCAAATTCCAAGACAACCATATGAGCCCCAGCATGAGTTTCACTCCCACTGTCTCCGTAACTCAGGGGCAGATTAGCAATATGTGAGGTAAACACAGGCTTACTTGTGCTTACTTACTAATCTGTAGTGAACAGTTTCTCATGGTTTTCACCCCATCTTTGTGGTGAAAACAAAGATGGGGTGAAAACTACGCGCTCAAGTAATCCACCTCTGCCACAGCTACTTAATTGTACTAAGTATGCACCCTAGGGAGGCAGTTTCTCCTGGTGACTTTTAACCTGCTATATCATTAATCAGGAAACGGAGGCTTACAAAATTAATCGTATAGCTAGAGGAGAAGGAAATGTTCTTTCTGGTCAGGGACCCTGGTCACAGGATTGCTATGTTGTTTGAATTTGAACAACACCTTCTTGGTAACAGGATAGTAAGAGAATGGTCAGACCAAGTACAGCTGAACAAAGGCCCCTTCTTCTCAACCCCGCTTTCTCTTTTCCCATGTACTCTGAGGTATATAACACTTTGTCTTTCGTCTACAATGTATCTGGGGGCCATACGTGTGTAGAGGAGGTTTCCTGTGTCAACTCACCCTGAGATGAGGGACTGAGGGAGACCAACCTCATGATGAATCTTGCCCAGTTTGTCTTTGTCTTAATTAGTGCATAAGTAAAGAAAACGTGATCTCACTGAGAGCTACAGCCCTGCATGGGCCCATTTTTCATCTCGGCTCACTGCACCACACAAACTTCTTGGCTCACTACAGCTAAAACTAATACCACCACCACCCCCTCTTTAGAGCTCTTATAGCATTTATCATAGCTGAAGTTGCATTTTCCTCCTTTATAGGTATTTTTTCCACGTTTCATGTATGTTCTATATAAAAAGAGGCAGTGGTTTTATTTATCTTTGTTTTCCCAAAAACACTTGGCATATGTCACTTAAAACACATGAATATTTGTCCGTATAAAATATACAGTATTACTGACATTACTGACAAATGAAGTAAATCATAAAGGCATTACCATAGCATAACTCAACAAATATATCTTTATTTGAATCAAGATTAGAATTTAGAAGTCCCAAGATTTCAAGCTGGTTGTTGACCCCTGGAGGCATACTAGTATTACAAATTCACATAAACAGCATTTCTAAAACAAAAATATTTCAGATATTTAAATGAATTTATAGTTCAATCTCTATATTCCTCAGATTTCACAAAACTATAAAGCAAAATATTCAGTCAGTCCTAAATCCACTTACTAAATAACTTCCCCCATTCTATTAGTAATATTTTTACTATAGAAAAAGTATAATTCAAGAACACAAAATAAAGACCACTATCCATAAGTTTTGTGCAATTATCTTCCTGATGTTCATATATAACCCTTATTCAATGATTATCAATGGGCCACTTCCTTATTTTATAAAACTTGCTTTCTGTTCTTTCACTCTTTTCCAAAAAATAAATCCTACTTTCTTCCTATTGTTCCACTGCACATACAGTGATGTAGACCTAACGGCCTAGTTTCTGGGCCAACTTGATAATTGTTTTGCTCTGGAGTGTTCTGAAGCTAAAGGATGAATTCAGAGCCCTGAATAGATTGGTCCCCATTAGAATTTCCAGCTGAGTCTCAATATAACCTCATTTTCCAAAAACTATCCAGATTTAGGATGTAATCTTTTCCCCTCCTTCTTCCCTTCCATATTTCCTTCCTTCTTTCACATTCAGTCATTCCACACACATTTACTGAGCAGTGTTATGTGTCAACATCTCAATTCTGATACAAAGATAAGACTTATCATTCATAACTTTAAGGGTCAAAATACTAAATTAGCTCAACTTTTTTAATAGATGACTTGGGGAGCTCTGGATGGCATAAATGGTTTGGCACTCGGCTACTATTTGAAAGGTTGCTGGATCAAGCCCACCCAGAAGTGCCCTGGAAGACAGGCCTGGTGATCTACTTCTGAGAGATCACAGCCATTTGAAAACCGTATGGAGCTCAGGTCTACTCTGCAACATGAGTCGGAATCAACTTGACAACAATTGGTTTTTTTTGTTTTTTGAGGTATGTAAGATCATATTTGTATTTTAAAAGACTAAATTGGAATAGACAAGGGAAGAAGAGAAGAGCATCAAAAAAACAATTAGAAGCTAAAGTTGAAAGCTAGTGAGGGAATGAAATCTTTGAGAAAGAGAATACAGAGAAAAGAGAGGGCAAGGGGCATATTGTGTAAAACCTTGGGGGTGAAAAGATAGCAACTTTGGTTTAGGACTTCTGTTAGGCCTTTTCATGAAGCCTATACGTGAGTATTCATCATGATGTTTTGTTTAAAGGCCGTCATATCGTGATCCTTCCATCAAGACTGAAATGAGAATATTAACAAGCCTTAAAATAAGAGAAAGAGACATAGAACAAATAATCTCTGTCTACCTACTTCAGTGTTTACTCAGTCTACCAACCTCAGCACTAAGTATTACTGAGGCTAAACCATGAGTAATCTGCATTGTAAAGTGCTGTATTTCATCACATTCAAGATGTCATTAATTGTTAAGACATGCCATTATTCCACACACAGCTAAGAAATAAAAACTTTGCCAATTAATCATTACATCATCAATTAATTGGAAGACATACCCTAATTTCAGAAGATGTTAAAATATGAAACTTAAATGAAATATGGTTACTTCAAAAGGAAACAATCTTTTGTTAAATAACAGACATACAAAAAATAATTTCCATGTTACAAATACCTGCCTTAATTCTAATTATATAATCTCCCCCTCCAAAAAAAAGAAAATCAATAAGAGAATTTGAAAATTAGGTGTGATAATACAACAAGAACCATTTCCAAACTGAGCTATAATAATAATAAAAATATCTGGAACCCAGACAGAGGTGTATTTACATTGAGACCTTCTGTTAAGAAAAGATTTCATGCAATAGTAGTGAAGAAATTTTCCTAATAAAAAACAATATCTCTTAACCATAGCATGGTCCAAAGTATGCAAGATAAGAAACATGATGAATAAATATAGTTCCTAATACCAATTAAAGTTCTTTAACCAATAACAATTTTCCTTCTCATGATAATTCATACAGTATAGCCATACAAAGAAGTCTTTTTTTATTTCTAATAATCTATTAATATTAACCACAAAGTAGAAAGAGTAGGTCGAAAATTCTGCAGCTACTTATGCCCCCAAATTACAATAAAACATCATCTTCCCCTCCCAAAAGAACATCATCCAATATTTGACCTTTTTATTTCTTTATCAACTTTCTCCATTTCCTCAAGCTCCTTCCCCGTAATGTATTACAGTCAACATGCATTACAGTTCTCACAAAATAAAGCACTAACTTAGGTCATTCACCATAGGATGTTGGAAATAACCAGCAAAGAACCTACGAGTCTAATCTATAGTCTAAGAGAAAATTAGACTATACTGAATCTTTCCACTAACCCTCTCCTACTTTCAGATGGCCATGTTTTCCAGAATGACACAAGGATGATAGGGTCAAGCTGGGCCACTCTCATCTCTAGTCATTCTTCAGGTGATCAGAGTAGAGTCTGCACAAAGACGAGTACAGTTTAGACTAAAAAGAGTTTGGTTGAGATACTCCTCCAAAGACAAAAAAATAGTTGTAATGTAATATGTCAAATAAAAGAGTAAGATCTCTTGCAACTGGTACTATTTATATCTAAGATAGAAGTCAGGGAAGAAGAAAAGGGTAGGAAAATATAACAAGGCCAAGGCAAAAAAGGGCTAGCTAAAAACCCCTGAAAGAAAAAGGAACAAGAACAGCTGATGCTCCAGTGCTATGACTATCCAAGTTCAAGACTGATGACTGATCAGTTGAATCAGAGTTATACCATCATGAATAACTTGTATTAAAGACAGAGAGAATAAAGAAAATAATAGATTAAAAGAAAGCAACATTACATCACATTCTAAGTACTTGTGCCAAAAACATTTAATCTGAATCAAATCAAGCCTTTACATCTAACTTCCATTTTATACAAAAAAACAGAAGACAGTTTGTAACAAGTTAATACCACAGGAAAAATCACCAAAACCAAACCCATTGCCATAGACTCAATTCCAACTCATAGCAACCCTATAGGACAAAGCAGAACTGTCCCATAGGGTTTCCAAGGAGTGCCTGGTGGATTCAAACTGCCAACCTTTTGGTTAGCAGCCTGAGCTCTTAACCACTGCACCACCAGAGCTCCATGGATTAAGCAAAGAGGTCTTAAATACAACATCAAAACTGTGATCTATGAGAGAAAAAAAATGATGACTTCATAAAAATTTTAAACTTT